GTGACCAGACAGAGGCCCGCAGCTCCAACGAGGAGGCCCAGAGGGAGCCAGAAAACCCTCCACAGGACAGGTGAGCGCTGGGCTGGGCCGCGCAGGGACATGTGGCGGGGGCGCCTGAGGCCCGGCCCGGTGTCTAATCCGTGTAGTGAGACCCTGTAGACCCTGTACTAAATACATGAAAGGAAGGAGGGAGAAAAAGAAAAAGTCTGTATGAAAAGAAAGAAAATCTGTGTGGTCCTGGCCCTGCTGGAGAATGGAGATTTCATTATCCCAGATTCCAAGCACCCTGACCCCGCCACTAAGCTCAAAGAAGTATTTGGAAGGGGACAACAAGTGGGGCACCCCTTAGTGGAGGTATCTTTACTTTGCCAGCCTGCAGCTCATGGCCGACAGCACTGCTGGGGCCCGGAGGCGACAGCTGCTGCCCCGCTACCCCCCTGGCCTGGTTCCTGAGCTGTCCCCAGGATCCCCAGGTAGGCTATGCCTTGCTGTCTTTATCCCCAAGACCCCCTTCGCTGCCTCTGAGTCTGTCCTAATCTGTTTGAGCTCCCCTCCCGCCCCCAGTCCTGTTTTCTCCCCAGGTGCCTTCCTCAGGAATGCCTCTGTTCTCACCCTGGGACCCCAACTATGGTGCTAAAGTGAGACCTCAGCAGGTGTGGGTGAGCTACAGGGACCTCTGGCTCTGGCTCTGACTTGGGGTGGCAAGGATGGCTCAGGAAGCACTGAGACTCAGTGACCCTTCTTGTCTTTCATAGGCATCCGGCAGTGGGCCAGGTATATCCTTCTCAGGCCGGACACTGTGTCACCCCTCCTTCTGGCCCATCTATGAGGCCTGGGGCAGGGGCCACAGGTATCAGGCCCCTATCCTAGGCCATCAGAACAGACAGCAGGCACCCAGGGATGCAGGTACCTTCCTGGGGCTCTCTGCACAGAAGTGTGGTGCACACACATCCCTGGGGCATGAGTGGGGTTCCCAGGACACCCCCCTCAAAGGTACCTCCTCTCCTGACAGAGTTACCAGTGATGTACCCTGAAGATATCTTTTTCTTGGACCCTCTGCTACCCCCTGGGCAGCGAGTTCCCTTGTACCTGTCTGAGGTCCCTCAACAGGTAAGAGTGGGCACCTTCTGGTCCCCCTGGGCTTTTGTAGGGTACCTGGGAGAAAACACTTCTCTCTCCTCAGGTCATAAAGCTGCAGCTCCCAGCTCCTATCATGTCGTCCTCCGTCCACCCCTCCCAGCCCAGGAGCTACTGCCTGACCCAGCTCAGTGGGCCGGAGCTGATCGCCGTCACTGGTCTGCTGCAGATGAGCCAGGGGGAGGCCAGACCTGGCTTCTTGGCAGCTCCTCCAAGTCATGCTGGCCCTGTAGAGCCTATCTCTGACCCCCAGAGCTCTTCAGGAAGCACTGATCCATCTCTGCCTAGGACCCCAGACACCCACTGTCCATAGCACCTCAGGGGCAGAGTGCCGGCCCCTAAGCCCCTGTTGATAATAAAACTTGTTTTGCTAAAAGACTCCTGATGGCAGGTGAGAATGTGGCAAGGAGGCAGGGACTGGGTGGGTCTCTTCCTCTCCCACTGCTTAGGCTGACTTCCTCTGAAATTCTTTTTTTTTTATTAATTAATTAATTAATTATTTATTTTGTGTGTGTGTGTGGCCAGCTCAGCCCACCAGGGGGTGGGGTTGGCTGGCATGTGGTGCTGGGGGATTGAACCGTGGTCCCTGTGCTTTGCTTAGCCTAGTTTAGCTTGTTCTAAGTAGGTGCTTTAGACCACTGAGCCATCTCACCAGCCCTCCTCTGAAATTCTTGGCAATCACTGGTTACCCCCTGCTGTGGGGCAGGCACTCCACTGACCTAAGGAGGCCATGAAGCGGGGTACCTTTAACGCATGGGAGCCATGGTCCACAGGCTGGGGCTGAGCCTTTAGGAAGTCAGGCTGGGAGAAGAGAGGATTGTGTGGGCCTGTGACTGACAGAGGAACAGATTGAACAGGGGGCATGTCACCTTCAGGGTGCAATCGTGGTGAGATTCCCCAGTGCTCCCACACCTCTTTTGGAGGCTCAGGCTTTAGCCCTGGGCTAGATGGGGCCACTGTACTGTTCTTTGGCTCAGAGGAGACAAAAAGACAGAGTCCCTGCAAGTAGGGGTCCTAGCCAATCCAAATGGGAGTCGGCATCTGTGGCGTGGAGAGCCGGCCAGATTTCAGCTGACAATGGCTGGTTGAATGAACTTTTGAGGGGGAAAGGAAGTGGGAGAGGCTCTAGCATTTTTCCTTGGAAAGAATTCAGTTTCTTCTCTTTCCGCCATCTTTCCGCGCCGCCATAATGGTGCGCATGAATGTCCTGGCTGATGCTCTCAAGAGCATCAACAATGCTGAAAAAAAGAGGCAAACACCAGGTCCTCATTAGGCCATGCTCCAAAGTCGTTACCCGGTTTCTAACTGTGACGATGAAGCATGGTTACATTGGCGAATTTGAAATCAGTGATGATCACAGGGCTGGAGAAATTGTTGTGAAACTCACAGGCAGGTTAAACAAGTGTGGTGTAATCAGCCCCAGGTTTGATGTACAGCTGAGAGACCTGGAAAAATGGCAGAATAACCTGCTCCCATCTCGTCAGTTTGGTTTCATTGTATTGACATCCTCAGCTGGCATCATGGATCATGAAGAAGAGTGACGAAAACAGGAGGGCAAGTCCTGGGGTTCTTTTTCTAAGGATGTAAAACATACAAATACCATGCCTCAGTGGATAAAAAAAAAAAAAAAAGTATTCAACTTCTTAGCTGGGGTTGGCAGTACATGCCTGTAATGTCAGCACTCTGGGAGGCTGAGGCAAGAGGATCCCAAATTGAAGCCCAGCCTGGAAAATTTAGTGACTTAGACCATATCTCAAAAAGGATTACGGGGGCCCAGCCCTAGCTCAGTTCTTTAAGTGGCTGCTTCCACAATGCTGGCAGCCTCAGTTTGCTGTAGTTCGATCCCCACAACACTCCA